GCATTTCTTCATGTGTCTGTTAGCTGCCTGAATATCTTCTTTGGTGAAGTGCCTGTTCATATCCTTTGCCCATTTTTTAACTGTGTTATTTGTCTTTTTGTTGACAAACTGTAGCAATTTCATATATATTTTGGATAATAGGCTCTTATTAGGTATACGGTTCCCAAAGATTTTTTCCTAGTCTGTAGGTTGTCTTTCTACACTTTAGATAAAATATTTTGATGAACATAAGTATTTAATTTTTATGAGGTCCCAATAACCTATTTTTGTCTTCTGTTGCTTATGGGTTTGCTGTTGAAATTTGCTAATCTATCATTTAAAAAAAAAAAAACTAGGTCCCATAGCTTTGCCTCTATATTTTCTTCCAGGAACTTTATGGCTTTACATTTAATATTTAGGTCCTTGATCCATTTTGAATTAGTTTTCATGTATGGCATGAGGTATGAATCTTGCTTTGTTTTTCTGCATGTGGAAATCCAATTTTCCCAGCAGCATTTGTTGAAGAGACTGTTCCTACCCCACTGAATTGAGTTAGCACCCTTGTTAAGAATCAGTTGACCATAGATCTATGGTTTTATTTTTGGGCTCTCAACTCTATTCCACTGATCTGTGTCAGTTCTTCTTTACATTTTCTATTTCTTTCCTTAGACGTTTTATTTCTTTGCTGAAGCTTTCTATTTTTTTTAACATGTTTCAAGCTTGGTCATAATGGTACACTGAAGCATTTTTTGGATGGTTGCTTTAAAATCTTTGCCAGATAACTCTAACATTTCTGTCACCTCAGTACTGGCATCTATTTATTGTCTTTTTTCATTTATTCAAGTTGAAATTTTCCTGGTTATTGGTATGACAAGTGATTTTTTATTGAAAACTGGATATTTTAGGTATTACGCTATGAGACTCTTGATCTGATTTAAACCTTCTGTTTTAGGTAGCTTATTTTGACAAAGCTCCAGCAGCAGAATGACGGGGGAGTACTACCTCATTACTGGCTGGTTGAGGTAGAAGTCCAGGTTCCCCTCTCAGCCTCTGCTGACACCTAAGGCAGAAGGTGCTCCTCATTATTGCTAGGCAGGCAGGGATGGTTGTTCTGGCTCCCCATTAAGCATTCACCGACACTATTCTGGCTGGGAGAGGGAGAAACGTCTTGTTCCTTCTCCCCATATGGTCTCTACTGATACACAGTGGTGGTGGTGATGGTGGTGTTGGTCTGTGTGTGTGGCCTCATTACTGGTAGGTAGTGGTAAAATTCCTGACTGTCCACTAGGCCTTCTCTGACACCACTCCAGCAGGAGTGAAGTGGGAGGGGCACTTCATTACTGCTCAGTGGGGATGGAAGTCTTGACTCCCTACTATGTCTTTTATGACCCCACCTTAACTAGAGGGACTAGGGACCTTATTACAGTCAGGTGAGGGTAGAAGTTTAAGATTTCCACTTAGTTTTTGTTGGCATGGGTGGGTGTGAGTTCACAGTTCTTTCCTGTGGTGTTTGTCTGGAGTACAACAAATACTGTCTAAAAGTTTTTTGTGTTGTGAGGCTGCCCCTTTCCTGGTCTTGTGGCTAGAGACAGTGGACTTTTGTTGGGGCTTTTTATGTCTGCACCCATTGTTGTTTTGAATTTCTGCTTATTCAGCTCAAGTCTGGGATATACTTAGCAAAAAGAAAACCTAGGGAACTCACCACCATGTTCTTCCTTTGGTAATGTCCCTACTTGGTCTACCTTCTTCTCCCTACATTTCACGGTCCTTCTTATCTTTGTTTTGTATATAACGTCCAGGGTTTTTAGTTGTACTTAGCAGAAAGAACAGCAAAAGTTATGTTTATTCCATCTTCCCAAAAGTAGAATATCTCTTCCTTTTATAGGTGAAAAAACTGAGGCTCAAAGGAGAGGAGAAAATATGCCCAAGGCCACTTAGATAATTAATAGGTCTTGGCATATTGCCTGTAAATACTGTTTTGTTTCCTCCCATAAGACTGATTTTTTTTTTTTTTAACCACAGGAACTATATCTTCTTTTTTATTTCTTGTGTCTGCTAAAGTACCCAATTCAGTTCTTTGCACCCAGGAATTATACTTTATTGATGCTTAGTATGTGACGGGAAACCCTGGTGGTGTAGTGGTTAAAGACTCTGGCTGCTAACCAAGAGGTTGGCAGTTCAAATCCACCAGGCATTCCTTGGAGACCCTATGTGGCAGTTCTACTTTGTCCTTTAGAGTCGCCATGAGTTGGAATTGACTTGACAGTGACAGGTTTTTTACTATGTTACAGGCCCTGGTCTGAGTGCTTTCCATACAACATCTCACTTAATTCTCACAAGACCCCTGCAAAACAAATATCATTATTCCCATTTCAAATATGAGAAAACTGAGGCCCACAAATGTAAAATCATTTACCTAAATTCATACAGATCATAAGTGTCAGGGCTGGGACCTGCTCACTGTGATATCCTGCCTTTGTAGGCTCCCAATAAATCTTTACCTAATGAAAGACAGTCTCAGGCGAGATGAGCAAAAATCAGCTAGAGAGTGAGTTAGTTGAGAAGAAAAATTAAGCTGTAACATGTGACTTTAGTTCAGTAGGTGAAGCTTTAGGTGGTAAGACTCTCAGAGGAAATGAAAGATGCCACCAAAAGTAAGTTTTGGTATTTTAATAAGTCATTGACATGACTGTCCTTTAGCTGTGGTACTGTCATTGCAGAAAAAAGAAATTCCAGGTTTGACTCTAATGTTTACTAACCCACAATATAGTAGATGAGCCTACAAGTGCTATTATTGTTAAAAGAATATAATGTAATTATTAAAAGAGTAAAATCACGAGTGGGACTGTGGACCACAGTTCTTAGGACACTTCTTTAGTCTTAAGAGGAAAAGTGAATGATGAGACTTTTCAGTATCTCATCCTAAATCAGTGGTGGACGGTTTCTGAAGTGGAAGGAGTTTAGTCACTGAGGAGACAGCCTATTCACACATCCCACAAGTTTTCCAAAAATAAATCACTGGAGTTCCAGATATATCACAATGGATCACAGGAGCAATTAAAACAAGGGGTCCATTTCTAGTCCCTTTATTTATTTCTTTGGGGATTCAGACACTCAGATCCTACCTGAATAATCCCAGCCAGAAAAGTTGTGGATGCCACCACACTCAAGGATTTATTATAAGCCATAAAGAAGGAGGGGTCTGAAAAGTCATCCTTGATGAACGTTCCCAATACCAGGTGGCCACTGTTGAATGGGTTCAATTTCAGGACATTGATCATCAGAGCACTCACAAGGAAGAAGTAACCTATGAAAGAAGCAAAATGTTTAGGCAGAGGTGAGGTTTTAAGTCCAGATAAGCTGACAGATATTGACAAAAGCAAGGCACGGTCTCATTTTGTATTGTCCTTATTCTAAAGAACTTCTCTTATTTGAAAGTGGCCATTGATAGGAAAGAGCAAGAAAGAGCAAGGAAAAGAACTCTGGCTTCACATATTGTGACCAACTCACAGACTTTAGATCTTGATGGTCCAGGTACTAGTCTTGTATTATGGGCATGTGGAATGGAATTCAAAGAGAAATTGACTGGAAATGGCTATCAGGCTCAGCCACTGTGCCTGCTCGTAGAGAAGATGAAAAGTGAGATGGACTTGAGTGCTTTGATTACTATGATAGCATTTTCTCATTGTACATTAATAAACTGACATGCTGTATTATAAATCAGCCTCTACAGAGTTTGGTTATTGTAAGTCCACCTGAAAGAGGGATCCACTCTAGGATCTAGGAAGTTTCTGGATCTTCTGGGTTGAGGGCAGGAAGATTTCAGTATGTGGTCATTTCACAAAGGAAGTTACCTCCTCCCTTTAATTCCTTTGGGAAATAGCTTGCTGGCCTGTTTTTCTGGTGGTTACTTAGCAATGGCATACTAAATGACGTGTTTAATTCCTACAATCCGAACATTAACTCTATGGATAGAATGTCCATCTTCTGCCCCCTTCTTTCCTTTAAAGGCAGCTTTAAATTGGGTTCCTTAGCAATAAGTAAATGACAAGAGGTGCAAACTCATCCACCTTCTGTGGTTCTAGTACTGAACTCACCAACAGACATTTGATGACATGATCCAAAAATTACATAAATTACTGAAGAACAGAAAGATGCATAACAGACATTGTGAGGAGGAATCAGTTGCCTTGCCAGCAAACTAAACGTCAGGCCTGAAAAGTAAGATAATTTAAGTAAGAAAAAGTAGCTTGGCTTTTAGAAGTTACCTTAAATAAAATCTGTAAGGAATATTTTAAATAAAAGTGATCTGTGTATATAGCTGACTGAGTATGGGTAACAATATCCCTTGACATACAGCCCTTGATCAGTACCTTTTATTACCTCCTTTGATTCTTAGCTTCTTTTCTTATTTTACCAAGCATTTTTTACACCTCAATTCAAAATCATAGGCTGAAACACCTTTCATGAAGTCTTAATCTAATTATGAAAAGCAAACATCACAGCAATAAGACCTCTAATTTCAACAGCTCAGAAGCAGGGTCCCCCTCCCCCGTAGTCAAGCAAAAGAAGGCCGTGGGAATCTTCCAAGGATGAAGACAAAGCTGAAGAGCAAGGCAAGCAGCACATTTGACTCGAAGCTGGTATGTGTTGTCTCTCTTTCATGTGTCAGTCACTCCAATCTCTTCCTTCAGTTCCTTCTTCAATACTTAACTTTCTTTTCCAGGAAGCACCATAAGAATTTGGAAATTTTGAAGCAACTAGATTAAGATGGTATCATCTGTTTGATGTTTCAAGCCCATACCTCCTGCCCTGTGTGCCTCCCCTCAACTTACATCGTATCAGTGTGCTCATCTGAATTCAATTATAAGTCCAATGAGCAGGTTTATTGTCTTAGACAGCAAGACTCTTTATTTTGTTTTCCAAGTTTTTATTATGGAAAATTTCAAATATATACAAAAATAGAGAATAATGAACTCACATATACCCGTCACCCACTCAGCAATGGTCAACTCATGGCCAATCTTGTTTCATCTATGCCCCCTCTTCTCTCCCACCCCATATTATTTTGAAGCAAATACTATATACTACATCATTTCATCTGTAGATATTTCACTATGTATCTCTAAAAGATGACTCTATTTAAATCTAGCTACAATACCATCATCGTTACCTAAGAAGTTAATAATGGTTCTTTAACACTATCAAATATCCAATGTTCAAATTTCCCTGATTATCTTATAAATGGTTGTTGTGGTGGAGGGGTCTCTAAGATGACCCCCCAATGATTCCTGACAATTGGTATTCACACCCTGAAGTGTGGGCTGGACTTAGTAACTTGCTCCTAATAAGTAGAATACAACAAAAATAATGGGATGTCACTTCTAACATTAGGTTGTAAAAACACCATGGCTTCTGACTTGGTTGTTCTCTGGCTCTCTTTTTCTCATTCAGGTCACCAGCTTCTAGAGCTAGTTTTATGTGTGTGTACCTGTGCAGTCAGAAAGACACCTCAGCTTAGAAGGGACCCACACCTAGAAGGACCCAACATTTGTTTTAATGCTTTGCTGTCACCATTTTGAAATTCTGAATAATTCTGAACAAGTGGCCCTACATTTTCATTTTGCATTGGACCCCACACATAAGGTAGTTAGTCCTGCCAGTTGCTGTGTCCTGAACACCCTCAAACAGCCTATGGAGAGGCCCACATGGCAAGGAACCTAGGCAAGCAACCATGTGAGTGAGCTTGGAAGCAGATATTCTGAGTTCTGTCAACAGGCACCTGAGTGGGCTTGGAAGCAGATTCTCCAGCCTCAACAGAGCTTTGGGATGACTGCTTGACTGCGACCTCATGAGACCCTGGGCCAAAGGTATGGTGGGATTTGGGGTGAACTTTAAAAAGAAATTATTTGTGCTTTACTTTAAATCTGTGTTTAAATCAGGACCAAAATAAGGTCCTCACATTGCAATTGGCTGATATGTCTCTTAAGTCTCTTGTAATCTTAAATTCCCTGTCCACATTTTTTTCCCAAGCAAGGCTCTACTGATTTCAAGAAACAGAAAGCCTGCTCAAATCAGCTTAAACAAAATAGGAAATTTATGAAAAGGGTACAAACTGCAGTTGGGCCTCAGTAGGAACTAGAGACAGAACTAAACGCCATCAAGAGCCAAGGTGGCTATTTCCCCATTCTCTTTGTATCTGGTTTGCATGGTCTCCTTTGTATCCAGTTTGGGGCTATTGTGAACAATACTGTTATGAATATTCTTGTGCATATCTCCTAGTGTGCAGATGCACAAATCTCTTTAGGTTATATACTCTGAAATGTAATTGTTGGGACATTTACTAGATAATGCCAAACTGTTCTCGAAATAGTTGTATAATTTACATTCCTAACAGAATTGTATGACAGTTTCCACTGTCCAAATGTGCTAGCACATGATATTGTCAGATTTTTAATTTTAGTGTGTATGGCGGTAACTCATTTTAATTTCAATTTTCACTTCATTGATTACTAATAAGATTGAACACCTTTATTAATTTGCTTCCTTATGGAATTGTAGGAATATATTATAAATATAAGTCTTTTATTGGGTATATGTGTTACAAATAAACTCTTTTTCTATAATGGTTTTTACTTTATATTTCAGTGTTTACTTATATGGTGAAATGAGTTCCTTTATGTGGCCTTTTGCCTTGGTTCTTTGAAAAACAGCTTGAGAGATTTTTCCCCTAAACCTTGAGGAGATACCTTTACCCTAGTTTCTAGCCCAGAGGGTTTATTATTTTTGTCCAAGCTGATTGACATTTCCTGGGAAAGCAGTAAACAACTTGACTTTTTTGTCTGGTCCTGGGCTGCGGCCTGTCCTGTGATTGGTATGCACCTTGCAGGGACTGTTCAATAGACTATGCAAATGAGGTGAGTTGTAGCCCAGCCATGTCTACTATGCAAATGAAGTTTCTGTGGTCTACAGAGAGGGCCTGGTGGGAGGGCCATGCCTTGAAATTTACAAGGAGTTTATATACATATACAGCCAACCCCACACAGGTTTGGGATATAGAAAGAAGCAACAAGAGAAGCAGCAGGAAGAAGAAGGAAGAAAGCAGAAAGAAGCGGCAGGAAGAGAGACAGGAGGAGAGGAACCTCCTGAAAGAGCTATAACACTAGTCAAGGGCTGTAACACTGAAGACTGCAAGAAGCCCAGAAGGGGCCCAACAGCAGAGCCAACTGTGACAGATGGCAGGGCCAAGAGGAGCATGTCCTGAGAGAGCTGAGAGGAGCTAGTCTTCAGGGGGCCAAGAGGAGCCTGTCCTCAGGGGACTGAAAGGAATCTGTCCTGAGGGGGCCAAAAGTAGCCTGTCCTGAGGGGGCCAAGAGGAGCTGAGAGAGCTATCCTGCACTGAAGAAGAGACTCTGCCTACATCCTTCCTGATCCTGAGTTGTAGCCTGTTGATCCTGATCCCAAGTTCTACCCTGTTCCTCAATAAACCACTTAACTGTAAGTACAGTTCATGAATTCTGTGAGACACTGCAGTGAATTGCTGAACCCAAATGGGAGAGGAAGGGTGCTGAGGGGAGGGAGAGCGGCCAGTGTCAGAGATGGAGTCATACAATAGCTTAGAGAATGTGGAAATCTGGGATATATTTGACCTCTGCCTCATAGGAATTGGCTTTGTGCTGATACATTTGAAGTTATTCATACAACTTATCTTTCATTACTTTGGCACTCTTGAAGAGTATTAGTAGATCAGTTATCTTGTCAAATGCCCCTCAACTTGGGTTTGTCTGATGTTTTCTCATGACTGTACTAATGTTACGAGCCCTGGTTGCACGGTGGTTAAAGCATCGACTGCTAACCGAAAGGTCGGCAGTTCAAAATTACCAGAGGCTCTGCAGGAGAAAGATGTGGCAGTCTGCTTCCGTAGAGATTTACAGCCTTGGAAACCCTATGGGGTTGCTATCAGTTGGAATCAACTTGACAGCAGTGGGTGTGGTTTGGTACTAATGTTATGCATTTTTTGTAAGAATTCTACAGAAATGATGTTGTGTTCTTCTTAGTGCATCATATAACAGGGTTCAGTGATATCTATACTCACTCCTCACTTATCGACATGGTTAGGTTCTGAAGATCAGGTTGTTATGTGAAAACTGGCATTATGAGAAAATGGAGAATGATCACATCAGATCACAAAATGGTGGATAACTACATCATTACATAACTGCCAGATTACATCATTACATAACTGCCAAACCACTGAGAATCATGGTCCAGCCAAGATGACACATAACCTTAACCATCACAGCCAGCGTTACATACTTTCACCTCACACCTTGGCGTTCCTTACTGCCAGACGTATGTCATTAATGCACGAGATAGTTGGAAAGTAGGTTTTTTACTATTGTCGTAAATGCGAAATGCCAGATAATGAGAAAGTCAATAAGTGAGATGTGTATGTCTTAGCATTGGTGATGTTGACGTTGGTAACTTAGTTAGGGTGATTTCTTTCAGGTTCTCCACTGTAAAGTAGTGGGGTAGTTAATAAATATCTTGGAGAAGATTTTCTGAAACTATGTAAATCCTGTTTCTTCTGAAACTTTCACCTATTGATCTCTTTAGCATCCATTAGTGGATCTTGTCCACAACAGTTATTCCTGTGGTGTTTGCCTAATGGTGATTTTCTATTTTCTTCTTTCCCTTGACATTTATAAATTGGAATTCTACAGTAAGGAAAATCCAACATCTTTTAAATAAGGTCTTCATCATGTAGGTTTTTTTGTTTCATTTGAAGAAAATTATTGAGTCATTAAGTACTATGTATTCAAATATAAATAAAACTTTCAAATTATTCACATTATAAATAATGTAGTGTGAATAATTAAAAGTTTTATGTACATTTGGGTAGGTAGTACCTAAATAATTACAGTGTGAATAATTCAGAAGTTTTACTTACATTTGAATAGGTAGTACCTAATGACTTAATACTTAAAATAATACACAATTCCATAGTCAATTAGCAAGCATTGCTTGGATTCATTCACTCATATAGTTATGTAGTTATCATTAGTCAACAAATACTTTTCGAGACTATGCTGGATGCTAGGTATATTTACATATTCTAATGTGATTCTTATTTCAGTATCAAATTGTACTGATGACTTGGTGTCTTAGGTGGGGTTCTCTAGAGAAGCAAAACCAGTAAAGCATATAAATATAT